AATAATAATAATACTAATCAAATGTGAATAATATAGTATAGAATTTTTGTTGTTCGAGTTAGTAATCGACTTATGTAATTTAAAATTAACGTTAGACACAAAATAGATAGAATTTTTATCTATGTGTATGGCAGCATAGATATGTCTGGTAATTAGTGACTGAAGAACAGAAACGATGTCTGACAATCGGTCTGAGCTTGTAACTGAAGTAGAATAGTGAGTAATAGTAGTAGTAGTAGTAGTAGTAGTTGTAGTAGTATGGCATACGACATACGACTCGTAATCGTAGCGAGTATCTCGACTGCAAATCGGCGTGATAACCCCCATTTCTCTCGTCCCTTTCCACCCCCTTTTCACCGTGGTACTCGGCCCATTCAAGTATTCACCGTTTTCCGCGACAATTGTCGGGTGCAACGCAATAATTACGTAATTCCCGCCACACTTATTACTCAGAGAGCTTCGTACCTACCTAAGTAATAGTTGATAGTAGTGGTGGTGACTACTGTTTTAGTGAACGTAAGGAAATGGGGGTTGAATTTCGTAGGTGCCGACTTCTACTTTTACAAGCAACCCTAACAACCTCTTAAGCTCGATACATTTTTTCCACCATTTTTTATTTATTTATTTTTTTCTTACTCTTCTTTTCTTTTTTTTTCACAATTATCTAAACAAATCGAATATTTCATAATTCATTATTAATCGTAAAACCGTAATCTGTGATATTACAAACAAAGTTATATTATAATACTGAATTTTTCTCCTATTTTTTTTTTTCAGATGTAAATCAATTTGCATATTCGCAATAATTTGTTTTATACAAGTATTAATAGCACGATATTTTTGTTTTTGTTTTCAATATTACGTAATTAAGATTTTATGCGTAATTTTATATTTGCAAAAGATATTGAAATGAAATTTTCAAAATGTCTATTAGAAACACGTGCACGAACAGTTTAATAAACATCGTTGCTTATTTAAAGATCGTCAAAACAGGATTAACTGTTCGTCACATGTTAAGTCGTATAATTCTCGTTGAATACGGATCATTGACTTACAAATAAGTCGTAGTATAATTCTAGTAGTACGTTAGTATTAGAAATTATCTCAAACTATTTAACCAGTACCAATATTGATTGTGGAATCATAGCAACAAGTGTGTGACGGTTGCACCAAAACGAATTCGTATTCGCGAAACGTTGGTATGTATATACATATATATTGATATGTATATATGTATATATCAGTGTACAATTGTCAGCATTTGTAAAATGAATACGTGCTTAAGTTTAAATACGTATATATATATATATATATACAAACTACGTCAGTACTGGTAGCTTTAAAAGAAATCGCTTAATATTTCTCGTATTTCAAATAAATGTTGATTAAGCTATAATACATTTGTGTTATCAAAAAATGAAATTAATTTTCTATGCTAGTAAGAGTAACAACAACAACGAAAAAGAAAAAAAAAGAAGTATTATATTTTTAAAATATATATATGCGAATAAAAGAAAAAGTATAAAAAATATTATATGAATAAATTAATATTCAATTTATGAGTATGGTTATTTAATTACAGGACTATGGAATGCCGTCTTCTAAAAGAATGCATTAAGTATACCACACATACACACACACTCTCTCACACACACATATATATATATAGGTATAGTTCGTTTGAAGTTTCTCGAAGATGCGTTCATCCAAAGCTATAAAAATTAATTGGCTCTCTCTCTCGAAAGGGCCAAGAAAAAAGAAAGACTCGTGCCTACCGTTGAAACAGGACAACTAACCATAAGCCGACAGCTGAAAGAAGAATGCAAGGCCGCCCATGTTTCGGCCTAATTGTTGTAAATCCTATAGGAAATAAGAAGAAGAAGAAGATGAATAAGGTTTCCGATGCATTTCGTAGGATCTTATACGTTTTGTTAGAAGAAGCTGTCATCGGTTATAGAAAGAAAGATAGATAAGATGAATAGATAGATAGATAGATAGATAAATAGATAGATAGAAAGAGAACATTTAAACGATCGATATAACCATTCTCATAATTCCATCTCGAGTCAAGTGAAATTCTTTGAGGAAACAACTTGAATTCTGTTTTCAATTGGTTTGATTAATTAGAACGTTTTCCATCGAGATTATCTTTTGTTATAAAAAGTGACAATGTAATAAAAGATATTTTTGTATCTTCCATTATATTATCACCAATGACGATTTGCAACCTGTTGGGGGATCGATTAGTAGTTAATTTTCTTAAAAAAAAAAAGGATTTCATTTTTATACACAAACAAAAATAATATATTTAATTATTCCTATTAGTGTTATCGTATTTGCAATCTAAACGAAATTGTATCAATAGTAATTAAATCGATGCAATCAAAATAATATAGAATAAATTGGAATTAAATAATAAGTATGGACGATCCCAAAAAAAAAACAAAAAAAATACAGATATCTATGTTTTTCGTGTAGTTAATATTAATCTTTTCTATCCGAAGATAAGAAAAAGAAAGAAATATAATATATAAGTTGCATAATATAGAAATGGTGATTCGTCCGCGAGAGGAACCCCTCGAGGGTCGAACAATTAAGTGCCCTAAGAACTACCTACTCACTTACGGGCTCTCACCTCGATGCTGCAGGGTCCACCCTATACTCCCACCCTTATACTCCCACTTCTCATCCCCCGTTTTGCTCCACTGTCCTTCGCCAACGAGTCATAACCGTAGGGCGTACAATGGATGGAAACTACCGGCGGCTTTTCACCGGCACTTCTTCGCCCCGCCAATTAATTCCGACCGTGCCGATTTCGTTCAACCGAAGAAAACCAGTCCTAAAGAACGCTCGTAAATCTTCGACCGATCCGTAACCATCTTCTTATTCTTATTCTTTATTTTCTTTTTATTCTTCTTATTCTTATTCATCCTTTTCTTTCTTTTCTTTTTTTTTACTGTCGGATTCCTGATATAAAATGTCGGTGTAACGTCGAAAGGCTGCTAATCAAGCCCTTAACGATATCCCTTTCATTTGCTCGATTCTTTCCATACCGATCCTTCGAGACTCTCGTCAGGATTATTTTTGGATCCTCTTAAAAAAGATTCTTCTTTGCGTTCTTTTCTTTTTTTCTCTCCCTTTTTATATTTTCATGTTAATAAATGTATTACAATAGTGTAGCGCGTTCATAATATTATGTTTGACCACAAATTGTATCGTTTTTTTTTTCTCTGAAAATCGTTGATTCAAATATATTGAATAAATATGCTAAGTGTTGTTCACAAGTCAATTGAAAAAAAATATGACTGTCAAAATAAAACAAAAATTCCCAATCAAGAAAATAATGAATTAATTTGCGGATTAGAGAAAGTTTAGGATCAAATGAAAGGATATGAATTTTGTGTTCATGTTTTCGGTTCAAATATCGCTAAGTACGATTAATAATCATATTTGTTGAATCCGATTAGATTTCTAATGACTCAGGAAGTATCCATTTCCGTCGTATATTTTCAAGTAAAAATCGCAAGTTTATTATCTTATGCATGCGGTTAGCAAAAAAGGAGTTTTGGAAGGTCGCCAATAGTGACGGGATTTTTCGAGTCTTGCGACCAATGACGAGAGCCCGACGAGTTCGAATCTCTCAGGAACTCTCTCTCTCTCTCTCTCTCTCTCTCTTTCTTCTTTTCCTACGAGCTTGCGTAATTTATTATCTTCGTAAGGTTCTGACATTTTAAATCCTCACGACTTCTCCAACAATTTCGAATTCAAAATTTTCCTTAATCCGTTCGAAAGAAAATAAATAAAAATTCGGATGAAATACGTGAAATGATTTAACCCAAAAAATACACACACACACATATATATATACATACACGCAAAAGAATAAAAAGGAACAGAGAAATGATCTAGGCGATTGATAAAGAAAGGAGGAACGATGAGAAAAAAGTAATGCAAAGAAGAGGAAGAGGAAGAGAAAGGAGGAACAAAAAATCAAGAAGAAGGAGTATAAAACGAGAAGAAAAGTCAGTTGAAAGATAGTTAGCGGAGTGAACGAACGGCAATGTGATTGAGAGAAAGATAAAACGAGAGAAAGAGAGAGAGAGAGAAAGAGAGAGAGAGAACGGGAATGAAGGGATTAGATTTCGGGGTGAATCGGTAGGATTGGATTTGGCAGACGCGAGTCGTTGCTGGTAGGTAGATGCTGGCTGGAGAGGAGTAGAGTAAGAGGAGGAAGAAGAGAAGGTGGAAGAGGGTGGGTGAGAGAAAGAAGGAAGGACGGTGAGGTGGTGAGGAAGAGAGAAGGAAGAAAAAGGGTAGAAAGAGAGAGAGAGAGAGAGAGACTTTAGTTGATGTCCGAATAGTGGTGGTGGGGAGGCGGGGGTGGTTTTAGGTAGAAGAGAAACGCGAACGCACTAAGGGATGTTTGGTGGGGGGTAGGAAGGAGATGGAAAGCTAAGGGATAGAAGAAGAACGAGATGGGTTTGGTGGTGTGTAGGTGAACTGGACAACCACCAGGAAGAGAAACTGCGAGAAAGAAAGAGATAGAGGGAAAGACTGAGAGAGAGAGAGAGAGAGAGAGAGAGAGAGGGAGATAGAGGGAGAAAGAGAGAGAGAGAGAGTGTGAGGGAGAAACGTCGGTGGTATTTAAGGGAGAGCCACGAGCATAGCGCGCCAGTTACTACGGCCGATTGGCCCCACAAGGTGTCGCTCAGTTACCCTCAACGCGGTAATCTACGATTTGTGCGAAATCCTAATCTGGAGGAGGAAGTTTAACGCGAGTTGGTGTGCCATTCATTTAATCCACGTGACTAATATTTTACACCAAACCCCCTTTATTTATTTCCTTACTTACTTCTTTACTTACTTACTTATTTTTCTTCCTTCTTTCCGTTAGTTATTATCATTTTCTTTTTTTTTTATTTATTTTTTCTTCTGTTACCCCCTTTTTTCTAACCCCCGCGTTTATATCTTCCTTTCTTTCTTTCTTTATTTATTTATTTATTTATTTATTTTTCGTACTGGTACTTTCCTTTTACTTTCTTTTCCTTTACATTTCTTTTTTTTTTCTGTGGGGGTAAGTGGAGAAATTTCTCTTATGTATCACACATACACCAAGTTTTTCATTCGGATTTTTTCAAGTGCTTTCGAACGAGGCGAAAATATTTTCAGGTAAAAAGTAATTATGTTTTTCTTTTTTTGTTTCTTTTTAATTTTTTTTATAAATGAATTATGCGATAATGTTTTTCTTGTCCACGTGTTGAATTATCATTTTACGATAATGTCATGAATTTGAATACCTTTTGTTTTTATTTTTCTTTTTCTTTTTTTCTTTTTTTCTTTTTTAAGAATTTGATCAACGTTAGATAAGTACAGCGATCCTATTGTAAAGAATTTTGAATAATCATTCTCGTTAAAATTGCGTTGATTAGATTTTTAATTGATATCGTGAATACTTGAAAAACTTATTAACATATGTTAATCATTTTGATAATAATGATCTATCAAAATAATGTGAACGCTTTGTATTAAATTTAATAATGAAATACTCAATTGATTCATAATTTCTAGCTAAACGTTTTATCATACCTTATTGTCATCATTTAATTAGAACATTTAAAATAATATAATAGGGTAAAAAACTTGGTTAAGATTCGATCTCAATCGAAAGAAAAATTTTTGCCGAATGATGATCACGTACGAATGATGTCACGCGAGTTATATTTACACATTCGAAAAATAATACCAAAAAACTATCTAATCTATTCGTTGATTTATTATAAAATCCGACCGGTTGTTATGTCGGACGAAAAAGAAAAAAAAAAAAAAAAAAAAAAAAAAAAAAAACCCGAAACTGCTGATAATGAATTTCTGATAATATTTTATTTCAGCGTGATTTCGCTAAAAAAAAAAAAGGGGACAAATTAAATACACATGCCACGTTTTATCGCGATGTTAAAAAAGAGAGAGAGAAAGAGAGAGAGAAAGAGAGAGAGAGAGAAAGAAAATAAAATCGGGCAAAAAGAGAGAAAAAAATAAAATAAAATTTTGTTCAGTGGAATTTACGAGAAAAGAGTCGATTGGTTGTCGTTACTGACTTTCCTCTATCATATCATATACTTGATAATTACGTAAGAGTCAGTGACAGAGAGACACAGGGAAAGGGAGAAAGAGAAAAAGAGAGAAAAAGAGAGAGAGAAGAGAGAGAGAGAGAGAAGAGAGAGAGAGAAAGAAAGAACGGCCTCTCTTTTATCTCCGTGGTGAAAAGAAAACGATTAAGCGTTGGATGGCACTGAGCCAAACAATTATTCGGAAAGTATATACATACATACATACATATATACATACATATATACACATATATTACACATGCACGTATTACATGCATACATACGTAACATGTGAAGAAAAAAATCCTAGTCCTGTTTTTTCTCTAGGATTGAAAATTTACGATTAATTTTGTTTTATCGATATTTGTATAACTAGGAGTCAACATTCCTATATATAACGTTTATAAGTGATATAGTAATATATATATATATAATTGTTTAATTTTTAAATATTTATTCTTTCATTTGAGATCAAATCGTTTGATATTAGAAAATTTATAAGAAAATTATTGTAAAAAGTAATGGCAATGAAAATTAAATTCATAGCTCCCCCCCCCTTCCTCCCCTATCTTCATAAAAGTTTAGTAGCAAAAAAAAAAATAGAAAAGAAACTTTCATCAATAATTCAGACATATATCTTATAACGAATAAATTGATTTCAATAATAATAATTATAATACGAATCTCTCTCTCTCTCTCTCTCTCTCTCTCTCTCTCTCAATGATGAAAATAATTCGAATTAATTGGAACGAATTGAAAATGGTATTGGAAGGAATTACTTGTTGTTAGTTAAGAAAAGATTAATAAAAAAAAAAGAAAGTATATGAGTGACGGTTTTGTTATAGTGACATAAACCTAACCGGTGACCGATGCTGCTGGCATTGGGTTTGATCCTGCTGCTACCGCTTGTCGGAGCTTTTCGGCAAGGAAGCGACATCTTGGCCACGTCAAACGGCACGGCCGGCTTTGCTGAGGTTTTCTCTGATCGAGCCTTTGTAGTTACAAGGATTCAGTCGGACGGAAAAGTCGAGAGAGCGATCCGTTGGCCTGGAATTTGCGCTAAGGAGACCATCGTCAATTGGGGGTACATACGATCATCGATTATATCTTTTTTCGATAATGTTTTTACATATAATATATGTATACACTTACGTAATATCCAATATCAACATTCATATTATATATATATATAAATCTTTTTCATTTTATTTTATTTTTTATTTAATATTAATTATTATCAATCCAATAAAAAAAAGAAGAAGAATCGTATCCTACACATTATGGTGTGTTATATCCATTTAATAATATTATATAATATTTATAGGATACTATATATATATTAATTATCTCTCGATGTTTTATTTTTGTCTGATGTGTGTGTATTTTTTTTTTCTTTTTCTGTTTCTTTTCTTTATGATCATCTTCTACGTTAATTGGAATATATAACAAGTCAAGTTATGATAAAGGATATATATATATATATATATATATATATATATATATCTACGGATACTCCTCCGTATGTGATCCTATATAAATTATTTTTCGTTTAGCCTCGCGGTACAAAACGAGAGTGTTTTCTCGAGTTAGGAGAACTAACAACCGATCATCCATCCATCCCTCTTTGTTAGAATAACATTTTCTCGGCCAGGAGCAAATCTCTCTCTCTCTTTCTCGGTCTTTCTCATTTGATCTATCCCTCTTTATCCCTCCACCCCTCCCCTTCCCATCCATTCCCTTCCTCCCTTACCCTTCACGGAGAACTCCGTTAACAGCAGCCACGAAAACAATGACGCCTTTCACGATTGCCAATACGTGCGTGGGAGCTTTGTTCGTTTATAACGTTATGCATTTAGTGGTACTCTAACTTTTTCCTCTTTTTTTTTTCCTTTCTTCCTCTCTTTCTCTCTCTCTCTTTCTCGTTTTTCTTTTACTTTTCTCTTTATACCTTCCAATCGAAGAACACGTTAATGTCCTCAACTGGAATCATCTCTATTTCACATAGCAAAGACACATTGTCGAATCCCTGTCGGAAAACTCCCTGAAATCTGCACCTGTTCACTCGTTTCTACTTTTTTCTATCTATTTCTATTCTATATGCGTGATATTGATGAATCGTTTAAAACACACTAAGTTCAAATGATTTATTAATATTGAAGAAAAATTTCTTTACGAGAGATCAACTTTTGATTACTTTCTTTTCTTGTTTTAAAGCAATGATTAAATAATTTCAATCAATGTGATTTTTGCGTATACAGACACATAAGTTTGACAATTTGAAAATATAAAAATAAAAGGAAAATAATATAAAATTTGAACGCGGGTTAAAAAGCAAAAAAAAAGAAAAAGAAAAAAATTGTCGTTTACCTTCTTATAACCATCGTTGACCACTAAGCCAAAGCAAGGCTTTAAGCCGAAAAGCGGCAAGTTAAGTAAGCAAGGATTAGACTGGGGCAAGCAAGGATGTACGGAGTGTGCCGAGTGTCGTCCTGAGCAAGTCGGGTTTGCCTTGAATTCCTAGTCTGTTGCTACTCCTCATCTGCTGATGCTCTCACGAGGATACCAGAGAATTTCCCTACCACGAAGCGTCACTTTGCACTTAAACCAGGAAAAGCTCTTTTGTGTTCTAACGAGAATGCATACAACCTTCCACATTTCCTCGACTTTCTCTCTCTCTCTCTCTATTTCTATTTCTCCTATTCTCATCCAATCCCAACCATCTATCTATCTATCTATCCAATCATTTAATTCCTTTTCATTTATTTTTAACACTTAACTCCGTTCAATCGTTGATACACATTTTCTTTCGATAATTTTAAATCCTTATTTTAAACACGATCACACACAATAACTTGTTTCTAATGATTAATCATAACATTAAAATTAATTTATTAGTGATGTTTCTCCTATTACTGCTTTAGTTAATCTAACATTAATGATTCTCCTAATACCGTCTTGAAAGTTTTCAGTTAACTTGGACTTTCGATATTTACGTTTTACAGATAACAAAAATTAGATAATTCTGAACAAAGTGAAACTTGTTGATATATAAATCTAAGCAAATAGAGTGATATTTGAAAAAATAATAATATTCAAACTTAAATTGTATTAGTCCTATATGAATAATTAACAAATCACTTATTAAATGTATTTAAATAATATGAATTTAGAAAATTAAAGAATACAATTGAATTAATACGGATAACACGTTGATCCTGTTTTTCGTTGTTGTTCTTGTTCTTGTATTCTCTCTCTCTCTCTCTCTCTCTCTCTCTCTCTCTTATTTCCTATTTGTATCTCTGTTTTTCTCTTATTCTCGTCCCGTGTGAATAGAGACATCGACGTGACGTTAAGACAGGTCTGGGAACAGAACTCCGGGAGAAAGTTGCAACTGATATACGAGGGTGGCAGTTTGACCGACTGCATAGACGAGGAACTTGTAAGAGGGGACGAGAGGTCCTGTCTCCTGTCGAGTATACACTCCGATGACTACGATGACGAAGCAGCAACAGCACTCGCCCAAGACGAGGTTTTCCAGTTTGACGATGATAATTTGTCGACGAGAGTGTCGCAAGACTTTTCTTGGATATCATCTACGTCTGAACTACGTCATCGTTGCAACCGTTTGAGAACTAGAACGCGTAATCAAGTCATAGCTAAACACCGTAGAAGGTAATACGACAATATTTTTCCATTGGAAACAAAATTCTAAACATATTTTTTGTTTCTTCTTTTTTTATCTCTCCGTGAGTTGGTTTTGTTTCTTTGTTTTTCTTCTTCTTAGAAATATCTTATCGTTAAAAAAACATATTATGTACGTTCCTAATTATAGATCTTGTTTCTTTTTTCTTTTTTTTTCTTCTATTAAATACTAAAAACGTATTAATAAATATACGTAAAATAAATACGTATCTCGCGGATAAATGATTATTAACACGCCGATTAAAAAATCTTATTGAAATTTGTATAAAACAATTAATTAATGCGCGAGATTTTGATTCAGGTGAAATAACATTTTTCAAATTTAGAGAATACCATCGAAATAACGTGAACGAAACGTTCAATGAAAGAAGAGATAAACGAGGTAGAAGTAGAAGACGAAGGGAATTACTTTTAATACCAGGAACACAATGGTGCGGACGTGGTCATCGTGCTACAAAATATACTAATTTAGGTGGATTTGGTGTAGCCGATGCTTGTTGTCGAAGACACGACACTGCCTGTCCCTTTTTCATACCAGCTTTCGAAGCACGTTACGGATTATTCAATTGGGGTATTACAACCATGATGCACTGTACTTGCGACGAACGGTAATTTATTAATACCTTCGTAATTGATCATCAATATAAAAATTCTCATACGTTTATTAATCTCATTGAAAAAGCAATTTGATATCGATGTGATCGTAATATTGTTATACGATTATTTCAATTAATAATAATAATAAATGTTTCATTTTTTTTCCTCAGATTTCGCACGTGTTTAAAAATGGCAGGAACATCGTCGGCCAATTTTATCGGTAAGATATTTTTTGATGTATTACAAACGAAATGTTTCGTATTGAAACCACAAAAGATTTGTACTAAACGATCATGGTGGGGTAAATGTCAGCATCATGAATATCGCAAACAGGCATATATTCGTGACAACGTTCCTTATTAAAACAAAAATATAGAGGAGATAATTCAATGTAAAAGTTTATTATTATTCGAGATATAAAACGGAAAAAAAGAAAAGAAATAATAATAGTAATAATAATAATAATAATAATAATAATAATAATAATGATAATAATTAAACAAAA